GAGAAGCCCAAAGCTATTTTTAATGTACATACATTTTAGAATTCCATCCCCACCACTAGGGAAGGCAAAGATTTAACCATATAGCCTGGATCATACTGGGAATTCCTAATTAGGCAATGCAATTAGTGCTCACCTGTACTTTTTTCTATTGTGTCATCAACTCTTCTCAGGAGACCCCAGTCTTGTGTTCACTATTTTTAATTTCCTCAATAAGTGTAATATACAATAACTTTTGCCAGGTTTTCCTTTTTTAATGAGAGATACCACATTCCCCAGAATTTCACAGGGAGCTGAAATTTAGGAGAAAGCATATGAAGCACACCTGTCTGTATAAAGCCTCTCATATGGAGAGATCCTGTGTGCTAGTGTGGGACTAAGAGTAGGCTGACTTCATCACAGCTTTCGCATTTTGTACGTCTGTCTTGTCCAATCTTATTTTTATTCATATTTTTCTGCAATAAGACATTTTTCAATAATTCTATGTTATTGATCAAACCAAGCTTATATCTCAACTGCCTTAAAAAATGCAATCCAGCACTGGAATTTAAAAATAATGACATCTTTCTGCTAGCTTTATTTTGAGCTTCGTCCAACTTAACTATGCCATGTCTCCTTACAGTTCTATTTCAGAGATATTTATTTAATCTATTAATTCAGGGTTTTTTGCAATTCCAGAGTAAGATTCTGACTAATCATCAGTGTACTTCAGTATAATGTGGCTGCCATGTTCTGCAAGATGTGGAACGAATTAGTACATGTAATTGTAATTAGTAGAAATGATTATAAAAAATAATGGAAAATAACAAAATACAATAAAAAACAAGTAGAGGCTTAATAAAATGTTAATGACAATGGATAATTAAAATAATTAATTTACTTAATTATTTATATAAATTGATATAAATAGATAATATTTTATCCTTGCACTGTCTTCAGTTATAATTTTCTATTATAAAATTGATTATTTTTTGTTTACCACTTCAACACCATATGAACAATATTAAATAGTGATCTGCACTAGAAAAACTTGGTGGCTTCAACCCTCCAAGTCCTCCTCAGGATGGCAGATGTTGTCTGGCCAGGTTCTCCTTCCCAGGGACCCACTAGTTAACAGGGACAGACCTCCTCCAGAAGGTGATTCAGAGAATGACTTTAGCTGAGGTACACTGCACTTTTCCTCAAATTTGCTTTTCTTTTGCGCAAGTCCCTACTTCCATTTACTCCTGTTGTTAGACAGCTGGTAACCCAATGAGTTAGTTTGCATTGCAGTACTCAAGCTTGCACAAAGAATGATTGCTCCTAGTAAATGAAATGCTCATTTGCCCTGGTTTTCTCACAGTGATCATTGTATCTAATTTTATTGCTTTGCTGGTGAAAACCGTAGCATAGGACCTTTCCCTTTGTAAATGAATTATTAGCCAGCAGGAAAAATCAGTTGTGCATTGCTCAGGATCACTCAGCTCCTCAAATAAGGCCCCAAATTTTGAGCTACAGAAATGTTTTCACTTGTCTTTTAAATGAGTATGTTTGAGCATGTATGTAAATAGTTTTTGGGTTTTGGGATTTCTTTTTTCTCCTTTGCAGACATATTTCATGGTAAGGCTCACTCAGCAGAAGCATTTCTCTCTCTTACATATGTCTCATGCTTTCACTCTTACTGGAAGCAGTGAGGAGTGCAAAAATTCAGGTCAGACTCTTGTAAGGAGGAAATTAATTCAAAAATGCCACTATGTCTATGTAAGATATTGTGATTCAAGAAAATTTCAGCTCTGGAAAGTCAACATCTAACATAATTTCATCCTTCATTGAGAAGTCTGCCACATGATGAAATTACAAGGAAGAATGACACACAGAGAAATTAACAGCATTATATTTAGTAACAGGCAAGTTGTAGAATGTGAATTTTTTTAATATGACTGAAGGACTATTTTATTCCGGAAGAGACCATTCCTTTTCTTACCAATTAGAAAAATTCTTTCTGTTGCTTATTTCTACCATGCAATAAAACCCCCTACGTGCTTCATAAGTCTGAAGTCTCAACCGGTTGCTCATAATAAATGCCTTTTTCATGGCAATGGCATTACAGGAATGACTGTAAAGATTTTGTTTATGAGATGCCATCCTTGTTAGTCTCAGGTTTCTTAGGATTTTGGGTGGGTTGTGAGGGATTTTTTGGGGGGGTGGTTAGCAGGGCTGGGTTTGGGGGGTTTGTTGATTTGGTTATTGTTGGGACTTTTGCTTTTTGTTTTCTGTGCTGGTTTTTTTTTTGCTTTTTGTTTTTTTTGTTTTTTTTTTTTTTTTTTTTTTGGAGGGGTAATCTTCTTAACTTGGGCACAGATGCGGGACTTGAGCAGATGTTGACAGTTCAGAAGGAAGTCCTGGTACTCTGTGATGATACAGTTTGTGTAGTGTTTTGGCAGCTACTGCCACCCTATGGTTTTCCATAATGGATGAATGCTGCAGAGCTTTAATGTATTGCATTTCTCCAAAAACCTCTTATAGGTCAGAGAGAAGACAATGAATATTCCTTTTGTCTTACTCACTCCTTCTCTGTCCCCTTTTCAGAAAAATCCTAACTACAAAGAAAATCAAGGATGGCACGAGAGGCCATAGGTGGCATTAGGATAGTAGAATCTTTTCCACTGCATTTACAACTATGTAATTGAATATTAACTTTGGTTCCAAGGATTTTCACTAACTGATTACATCTGCTTTGGCAGGATAGATTTTACTCCTTTTTTTTTTTAGGAACTTCAAAACGTACATCTGGAGAAAGCTTCCAAAACCCATTTCTTAAAGTTGCTGCTGCATTGGGAGCCTGTGTTTACATCATGGATGCCACATATAGACAGATCTGGGTTAAAGCAATCTGGTCTAAGCAGAGTGTCCTCAGAGCATTGCTTCCAGCACAGCTTTGCCCTCCAGACGCCAGCAAGTGCCCAGCCGAAGGCTCTGATGCGGAAAGAGGATGTTTCAGATACCATTATTCCACTCATTGCCCTCCTTCAGGCCAGGGAATACCCTTTGCGTGGAGGAACTTTTTTTTTTCTTTTGAGAAAGCGGGAAGAGGGATCACTTCTCATGTTGTTTATCTTCTCTTTGGGACTGGAAGCTTCTTTCCCTTTGACCAACTCAGATGAAACCAGGCAGCAGTGTAGGCTGTAGAAAACAACTCAGCTGGCTTGGAGGCAGAGATCTGGGACTCTCTCATATATTACAGTGCACGGGCACTGGTTTTCCCCATATTATTGGGGACTCTCAAGTTCCATCCCCTCTGCCACACCCAACCTCACACCTATGCAGCGCACGAAGTCTGAAGTGCACCCACTGCTCTTTATTTTTCTTAGCCGACATGGAAACTGGATGCCCTCTCCTTAAGCCAGATCCCCAAACCGAGCTGCCGGCCGGCGCAAGAGCTGGCTCTGGGGCTCCCCCGAGTCGGGGGTTCCCCCAAACCCCGCCGCTGCCGCGGTGCCCCGGCTCCTCGCCTTCCCTTCCCCGCCCGCCGGGGCTCTGCGGGCGCTCCGTGACCCTCGCCTGGGCGCCGAGCAGCTCCTCTCCGCAGCCACCTGTAGCTACGGCTGATTTTTCTGCATTTCTCCGAAAAAGAGCTATTCTCAGCCCGGCTCCCTTCCCGCGTGTTTTACTTAAGTGAACCAAGTGTCCATGCATCAGGAGCGGAGGTGGTGTCTTTTTCGGAAAGATGCAGCGCCTGTTTTTCCTGTCGCCTCCCCGCGCCCCCCAGGCTGGTAGCGCGGGACCGGAGGGGTGTATAGGGCTGGCTCGGCGGCCCCTGCCCCCGCCCCGGGGCGGAGCTGCGGCCCCAAATGAGGTACGATTTCACCTTGGGGGTTCGTCTTCCTGGAGCACCGCTGGAATTACGGCCGTGCCCGTCCCCGCTCATGGCTCTGCGCTCCGCCGGTGGTCCCCGCTCCCAGCCCCGACGTGGAACGGCCGCATCCCTCCTGTAAAATGAGGAGAGCGGGATCTCCGCGCGGGCGGCGGGAGCCGCTGTTACGCCTGTCGGAGTTGAGCATGGAGGGAGGTGAAACAGCCACCTGAAGGCGGAGAAACACCCGAAGCGACAACAAGTAGTCTCGCCAGGCAGGGCGGCACGGAGCGCGGCTGGGGCCGGAGCCCGCCCGGGAGCAGAAGCCGCTGTCGCTTCTCCGGCAAAGGTAGCGGCGGGGCGGCGGGAGGGAGCGCGGGGCTGGCGGGGAGCGGGAGGCACCCGCGGCGGCGCTGATCCCACCTGCCCTTCCGCGAGATGCGCGCTCGCCTTCCTGATTTGTCTGAGAAAGTAGAGAGCCGAGCTCCACACAGATAGCTTTTCCTAGAGTATGACTGCTGCCTGCGCTGGTGGGGTGCTCTGTATTTCTTCCCAAAAAGCAACCCTTTCCTCCCTGCCACAGTGGGGGTGGGGAGGAAGAGAAAAAATATCGAAGCCTTCTTTTTTTTCCCCCTCGTTAAGCTGTTAGGACAATAAAAGATAGATGCCCATTAAATAATTAACCGTACACTTTATGTTCCATCAGCTCGGTTCACACAGCTCCGCGAAGGAGAAGGGGGTGGGGACGGTGGAGGATCCATACGGGGTCGAAGCGGCAGCAGTGCCATTTCGGTAGCCTGCTTCCAGGGGAAGCGGGAGACAGCCCGGAGCTGTGCCCGGAGCGGGCAGGCGGCACAGCCCTTTGCGGAGGAGCGTGCGGAGCTGGCCGGCGGTGCGTGGCGGGGCGGGCCGGGAGGGCTCTCCCCGGAGTGCGGGTCCGCGGGAGATCTTGGGAGGGGTCCGGGACAGGCCGTGACCGCGGGGAACGGTCCTCCTACGGTGGTGCTTGTGGGGATTCTCCTCGATGTCTTCTGTTTGCGTTTAAGGCAGAAGCTCGTTCCCCACGGACCTCCCGGCGACCGGCTGCCCCCCGCCCAGCGACCGGCGCGCCCCCCTCCCGATCCCCGCCGCCGCCTCCCGCGCTCTCCCCAGTCATGTCCCACCCGGAGCGATGGGGAAGCTCGAGGACAACGAGAGGGTGATCCTCAACGTGGGGGGCACGCGGCACGAGACCTACCGCAGCACCCTGAAGACCCTGCCGGGGACCCGCCTGGCTCTGCTCGCCTGCGAGTCCCAGAGCGAGTCCCCGGGCGGCGAGGAGCCGCCGCCGCCCCCCAACCCGCCGCCGCCTCCTGCGGGCGGCTGCCCCGAGCCCGGCAGCGGCTGCAGCCCCCGGGGCAGCGGCGGCGCCAGCGAGTTTTTCTTCGACCGGCACCCGGGGGTCTTCGCCTATGTACTCAACTACTACCGCACCGGCAAGCTGCACTGCCCCGCCGACGTCTGCGGGCCGCTCTTCGAGGAGGAGCTGGCCTTTTGGGGCATCGACGAGACCGACGTGGAGCCCTGCTGCTGGATGACCTACCGCCAGCACCGCGACGCCGAGGAGGCCCTCGACATCTTCGAGGCACCCGACCTGCTGACGGGCGAGCCGCCCCCCGACGGCGACGACGACGACTTGGCCGCCAAGAGACTGGGCATCGAGGACGTGGGGGCGGCCGCCGAGGGCAAGGGCGGGCGCTGGCGGCGGCTGCAGCCCCGTGTCTGGGCGCTCTTCGAGGACCCTTACTCCTCCCGTGCCGCCAGGGTAAGCGCCGCCGGCCGGCGCTCCCAGCGGGCGCTTGGGACGCCGAGGGGCTGCTGGGGCCCCCGAGCGGGAGCCGGCATCACGGGGAAGCAAGTCCCGCTTGGGGTGTGCCTGAAGAAGTGATGCTTTGGTGGGCCACTGCAAGGGGCGACATCGGTCCACGGGGGGTGGCGGGTGCTTGTCCCCTGCACATCTGCAGGCAATGCCAGGCAGCACGGGGGTCCCGCTGCCATCCTTCCCGTGGGAGTGTACGGGGGTGAGGTGGGAGTTGTGCCCCGAAAAGCCTGCAAGGGAGCCATAATCACCCCCTGGACTGTGTGTGGAGGGGGTGACTCACTGGTGGACCTCTTTGTGTGTGGGTGTGAGCAGGAACAGCCCCAAGGCACCCTCATACTCCCTGAGCACCTGCATGAATGTGTATTTGGGGCCAGGGCAGCTGGTCTGAGGTCTCAGGTTTGGGGTCAGGTGGTGACAGTGACACAGAAGAGCGACCTCAGTCCGTTCTGGGCTTTGCTCTGTCTGCACTGGTAGGTGATCCCTGTTCAACAAAGTAAATGTGACAGGGGGTCACCCTGGCTCATCCTCCGTTGATTTCTCAGGGTGACCCTGGCTGGCTCATTGACTGAGGGACTGGGGACAAGACAGTAAGTTATCAGACCGACTTCCTTTTACTTACATAGGGATTTTAGGTTTTTATGCTCACTACTTTATACTTTGATGAGTTGGATTTTAGTTCTGTTTTTTCATTGCAGTTGTCAGTGGTGATGAGGGTTTGCTTTCTAACTCAGGGCTTTGGAGCAAACAAATGGTTGTAATTCCTTTGAGAGAAATATGCAGTGGTGTCTCTAATTTAACCAGAACAGCAACCACCAGCAATTCCTCCCTGCAATACAAGACAAAGGACTTGTAACAGGAAATGCTTGATTATAAAATGGCAATAAGTATTTTGTGGCATCTTTATCAGGATTTCCACAAAGTATTCAGAGCTGAACTTCATTCTGCAGAAAGTGAGGTTATGGTGGGTGTAATCTCCTAATCAGTTCCACTGATTCTGCTGGCAGTCTCACAGATGTGCACTTAAGTGTATAGTTTAGTGACTTCTGGGATTGTACCCCATGGCATGATGCAGTTTCTGCCCGCTCACCCTATGAGCTTATTGAAGTAAGTTAAACAGAAAGTAAAACATACAAAATGAAGTAAATCACACTTATTACTGTCACTTACTGAGTGCCAACATTGTTTATGTTTTTGAAGGTTGCCTACCAGTATGTTTTCCCTCAACACCTGGCTCCAGTTGATTCTTAAAGTATGTTTTTAATAAAGAATGGGTTCTGAAGAAAAGCTACCAGAAGTGTCTATCTTTGCTCCTCAGTGACATACCCGCATCTCGCATCTCAGCTGTTGGGATCCTAAAGGAAATTTGGCTGTCAGTTACCTGACAGACTGTAGTGTGTGTGGTGATTGCCCTGCAGGTTTTCTTTCCCTGACTGTCTTGTGGAAAGTTGCTGACAGTGTCAAAACTGCAGCTTTTATGACAGAGAATCTTCATGCTCAACTTTGCTGGGGAACTGAGGAGTACTGAGTAAATGTTAAATGGAAGATACCAGGAGAAGTAGGAAGGTAGGCATGCTGTTGTGCCTTGGAGTTGAAGTTGGATTTTCAGTCCAGTCTTTGACAGAAGCTGTAGGCACTTGCATTGCAAATTTTCCATCTGTACTGGGTCATCCTGAACCATTAGTGGCTTGGGTGAAGATATTTCAAGTTTGCAAAATGAATACTGTAATTAACACTGTAGTAGGAAATTGCAGCATGGCAATATTAATCTCTTAGAAGATAGAGTATTTACCTTTTAATAACTTAACTGGTTTTAAAGACTTTATTCTGATTTCAAACCCAGGCAGCCAGAATAAGGCAGTGTCTAAATCTGTATTTTCATTTTCTGAAGAGCTATACTTGATCTTTCAGGTAGGGAGGCAACTTCAAGAATTTCTGGTGAGTTTTAAAGCATTAAAGTGAATTTGTATTTAAGGAGTCGCATGCACTGAGTAAGCACTCTTGAACACAGTAATTTAAGGTGATGGTAGCCTTAGTTTGGAACCGAGACATTATGTTTTTCCACACCTGAAACAAGAACCCTTATTTTCTCAGTATTCTGGCAAATGCACTCTTGTTTTATGACGATGACTAACTCTAAAAACATTTGAGTGAAATGAAGACAAAACTCTGCGAACATCAGTCTTTGCCTCACAGTGTTAGTTACTGACTCATACACCGAGATTATGGTGGGGCTGCTTAGTGATAAACTTTCCTAAGAACTGTGGTAATTATTTTCTTATAGCATTACTGATTTAGGTTCACTAGTGTCTTTTTTGGGAATTATGATGCTGATAAAAATGGGATATTTTCTGTTAATGAAATGGTACTTAATATCTGTGATTTTCTTTATTTGAAACTGTGATCTCTAAAAATAGAAATTTATAGAAATTCAAATATAAGTTGCCATGGTAACCTCTTTGGGGATAGTGCACATACAAGATTATTCTAGCAAGACCATTCAGTGATGTTATATAAATAGTGGAACTAGTTTGTTGACAAGAAGGTTTACTTTAGCTGAGATTCTAAAAAATGCAACTTTTCGTACATGCAATTTGATAGTCAGATAGCGACATCTACTAAACATGGGGCTTCTAAATATGAAATATAGTCCATGTATATTTGATTGCTTTGAAATCTGCAACACTTCCCTTTGTTTCCCAAGTTCAGGAGTTAGGTCTGAATGTCATTTCTGTCTTCATATTACCATTTTGGATTTCATAGACCGTGAAATGAAATTAAAGAGTGCAGCCGTACTCCTTTCACTCCACGCATAATAGAATGATCATTCACAAAAGGCTGTTTGACACAATGCTGTTAATGTAGATATGGAAATCTACTGGCATAAGGTGCTGTCATAGGAGGAGGAGCGCTGGGCGACTGAATCTTTGTGCATTGGTTTAAACCTCTCTGAAACAGACACCTAATTCTTATCTGACTAAAACCTGTGCGCTGTTTTGTTGGTTAATGTCTGTAAGTGATTTTGGTGTCCAGTGGCTCCTAAGTGCCAGGTATTTGTTTGCTTTAGTAAAGTGCAAAAATAGATCTAAGTAGTTTGTAAGAAAGCACAAGAGGCAATATTAAGTGCTGAGTTCAAAAAGTGTCTGCAGATGTCCAGCAGGACCTGGAATGCCAGTGCTCATCCCAGATATCATATTTCAAAGTAATTACCTCTAAAGCCTTTTTACTTTTGAACAATAGTTGAAAAATGATGCTGTTTAAAGAAGTAATTAGTATTTGTCATTGATTTTTCCTAAGGATTATGGATTACTCCTGTACTGAGTGCAGGAATGCAAAAATGACCCTGAAATTCATCAAGTCCATAGCTATATATCCTTAATGTTTTGGGAAGACTGTAAATTTGTTCGTGAGTAAGGGGCACCACCTGCCACGTGGGGTAGTTAAGCAGTGCAGGAGTCAGCATGGCCCAGGACACTTGAGCTGGCACTGCTGTTTGTAGCAGCTGAAGGCAACTTACACAGCCCCTTTGCTATGGTTTTTATCTCTAGGAAAGATCATCATTACTTGGTTTACAAGGAAATATAAATCCTAATTAGCAGGTATTTGTCAAGTTTGCTGTAAGTAAATATTCACTGCAATGCAAATAAACCTTGCACAAAATGCAAACTGCACAAAAACCTTGCAGTCGAGGCATCAAGATACATCCTGCAAGTATTCTTAAAAATACTGATGCTGCTTCATAGTGATATGGGGAGCTGTATTTGAGCAGTGGGTAATATTTTTGGAGGGAAAAAAATATCACTCCCCTCTACTGCTTTATATGATGTTAAATTGTCAGAGATTCCTTTCAGTGACCCGTTGCATCTAGCTTTGGGCATTCAGTGAGGTAAAGAATCAGCTGAAATGAGTGGGATGGGAGAGGGGAAAAATATGATTTTATAGATTCCCTCGAGAGGCTAAAGATGCAGAAATTATGTTGGAGAGCATTCTTAACAAAGATAACTTAGGTCTTTATTTGGTGGCTTGCTTATGTTTTCTCCAGGTACCTAGATATCTGTTTTGATACCTGTCAAGAAAGCCTTGATTTAGGAAGCCTGTCATGTACTACGGTGAATGACTGAAGTGAGTTATATTTTTAGGGCTTTGCCTGTTCTGATGCAAGACAGGTTTTATTTTTGGTGGAAATAACACTGCTGCATCAGTCTGAAATACTGTGAATGGAGTGGTGGAGGTACATTGATGTCAGAATATATGTTTGTAGATTAATAGTGAATAGCAAAGGTTAGCTTTCTTAACTGATAGGAAGCCCTTTAACACATAAATGTAAATCTTTACTCTGTCTTTTATTCAACAAGGAAAGCAGGCATACTTCAGATTTTACCATTCAATTATTAGTTAGGCAGACATCTGTGTGAAAACGGCACAAAGAAAATAGTTAAGGTTGATGCTTCAAAGAGGGTATTCCTTTTGTTGGTAATCAAAGCACTGGATTTAATTATATGTGAGAAATAGTCAATTACATTGAATTAGTGAGAAGCAGTCATTCTGCTTGAAGCATTTATGCCATGGGAGGTGTCTTTTTTAAAGACACACCAAGATGTGTTTCTAATGACAAAAGTCATAGTGCATAACTATTACAGATATTCATACACTCTGTAGCTTCATGCATACATGGGCTGCCTAAATCGCATTGTAAGTAATTTTTATTAATTTACTTCTGGCATGCTGGCTTATAAAGGTCCTTATTGGAAATTCTAGCTTAATACATGATGTATAATCAACTAGCTTGATCTACCTTAAGTGTAGATGGTTTCTGATGGTACTGACATCAGTGAGGTAAAATCAGCAAGATTTCTTCCTTCCTAACTTCTGCCTCTTCCTCTACAGCTGTTCTGCCTGATGCTGCTAGTGTTTCCATGGAAACAAGCCAGCTCTTCGCTTCCTCT